CGGACATATACTTTTTTTCCTCTTGGGAAAAATAAATGTCTAGGAGTGGAATAGTTAGATCCTACAGTAGTTATAATAACCTATACTTTTTTAAATAGAAGTCTTTATATAGCTATTCCATAATTTTTTAAGGATGTGGAGCCTGATGTGGAGCTCCATCTCATGACCCCAAGATCATGACCTAAATTTTTTTTCAAGATTAAGGGTTAGATATTTAACCAACTGAACCACCCCAAATTATCTCCACCAAACCACCACCAAAAATTATCTCCCTATAATTTTTAAGTAATACCTTATTGTTGAATGTTTAGACCTTTCTGATTTTTCACTGTTGTTGAAGATAAATCTGGTTTTTTGGCTTAAAAATGTGGCTATGTATATTCAACTTAAAAAGAAGATGAGTAGAAAGGCATTGTAAAGGAGACTTGGAAGTCCTGTATTGTTAGATCATTTTAAATTTTTCAGTGATTCCAAAATAATTATTTTATGACCTCTGCTGGGAAGCAAAGCAGCCTGAATCTTTAAATGAACCAGAATTTGAATTTGAGTTTGAAGTTATTTTGCAACCAATAGAAGTTTTGCTGTTTTGTTGTTAAATTCATGGGACCATGATTTTATCATAACATTCTTTATGAGGAGACTAAAATAAATTTGGGTGTGACCTTGATATCTAGGAGCTATAATTAGCTATACTATACTTATACTTTATAACATTTTGTTTAAAATTCCTGAAATATAGTGTTTTACTCATTTCTGTCTCTCTCACATACATGTATATGATATATATGCTGGCCACTGTAGAGGCCCAGGTCTGATCTCAGGGTTGTGAGGTCAAGCTCCACGTTGGGCTCTATGCTCTGTGCAGAGTCTGCTTGTTGTTCTCCCTCTCCTCCTCATACTCCACTCTCTCTTTCATTCTCTCTCTAAAATAAATAAAATCTTGGAAAAAGAAAAATATATAAACTTAATGATTAAATGCCATTTCATTATCTTATATTCTCATAATTCATTATTAAGTAAAACAAAATGTTTACAGAATGGTAAAGAAATGCTTGGGGAGAAAACCAATGTTAAAAAAAAAAAAAACCTAAATCCAAAATGCTATTTTATGCATAGATGCCAAAGTTTTATTTTTCTGTGGTATGTTTAGGGTTTTCTTATAACCAAACAAAAGTTGTTTCTACCCACAGATTTTTAAACAGCAGGGACATGCTTATTATTTATTGTTTTGGTATATTTTCCTCATTTACATAAGTACCCCAGCAACCAGCAGTTTAAAACTAATAAAAGCCAGAGTCCTCCATCAAGTGCAATAAAGTTTCACAACCATGAGTTAGACTGTTAGAGTGAAAAATAAACCTATATATGTGGTTATGAAGGGTTTTTTTGGGGAAAGTGTATAATCACATTTCAAAGTTAGAACTTCCATTTGAAGTAGCAGTGCAATAATAATACTTAAACATTTATGTGGAATGCTTCATCTTGGAAACACTCTCCTAACATTGGCTAATTAATCTCTACTGCTTCCCCAAGGAGCAGGTATTACTATCTGCCATTTTTTCTAGTTAGAAAATTGAGAAAGGTATGACCAGCCCAAAGAGAGTGAGGGCTGGGGAGACAAGTTTCTGGCCCTTATTATTCTGTGACTCTTTGGGATGTAACTCCTAATAGAATGCATCTAGTTCCTGTTCCACTTTAGTAAAACCATTAGTAAAACAAAGATGTAAATAGTAGTTCAGTCTACCTCATGCTTATAGATATAATCTTTACCCTCCTGCGGCTTATCTTTTGGAAAGAATGGGGTACAGAAAAGATTTGGAAGATCCACAGTACATTTCATCTGCATTTGCAATGAACTGAACCAAACTTTTCCCAGTGAGAAAAGCGGTCATATGCTTCCCCCCAGCCACAACTTCCACCTTACTATTATCTCAGCAATTTATACTTTTCCAGAAAAAATTTACCATGATCAGTACATTTAAAGAGTTGAACAAATCTGGTATGCACATTGAAGCCAGAGGAACAGTAAAATAAAACTAGTGAGCATTTACATTTTTGGAAATATAATTAATACATGCTTGAGAAATTCTGAAAGATAAACATTTAAATGTTAAAATACTTATTACTTTCCCCACAGGGACAGTGTTGGGAATTAATGAGATAACAAATGTAAAGTGCTTTGAGCTCTTTAGAAGAAAGGTGCCAGGTGCATACAAATGATTATTAATTGTTAAAGCTATCAGATGGTTACTAATATATTACTTATGATAAAATACATATTTTTATATCTGAGAAATAGGATGATTGCTATTCTTAGGATGATATAGCCAAAATAGTGCTCCCAAATGTCTCCTAGGTTACTCTACATTTTCTTGGAAGTCAGTTCTTAACCTTTCCTCAGTTTCTTGACTTTATACACATTTTCAAATAAACTATGGGGCATGACTTCCCAGTTTCCAAACTCTCCTGCACCTTTCCACTGAAGTCTTACAGATCCATCACCATGAGAGAATTCCACTGACACCACATTCTCTTCTGATTTCTTTGATTACATAATTGTTATGCCTCATGATACTGTCAGTTGTGCAAGGTGATTTTATTAGCAGGAAGCATAAGTGAAACCATCCTTTAAACAACACTAGAATTTGTTATAAAAAAAAAAGGTGGGTCCCTTGTGTGATCTGGGATAAGTGAATCTGAACTTCCTACTCTATACAACATGCTAGAATTTGTGGTAAAAGAGCAAATCCCCAATTTCATTTGGTCTTGAGACGTGCAGAGATACCCTCACAAAATCTCAATGTCCTCATATGTAAAATGAAGACAGCAGTAGCAGAGACCCACATGGGGTTGTTGGAAAGATGCAATAAAATAATGTGTATAAAGCTTCTAGTACAGTACATATTTAGTCTATAATAAGTGTTCATTAAAGGTAAATATAAGTAGATTACAGGAGATAGGAAAAGTAGATAACAGTTTGTCATTAAATTTTACCTATTTGGTTTCTTTAAAATAAATATAAAATGGATAATATATGTAAAGAGACATCCTCTTATCAACAAATAATTTTCCTATTTAGAATTGTAAAGCTCAGTAATTCATCTCAATTAATTTTTGTTTAGGATACTTTAAACATTGTATACATATGTGATTTTTTTTCAAACTTATCTTAGTTTACCAGTAGGACAGTGTCTTTGCTACATATATGTGTTAAAAGATGATGGACTATGCTTCTTTTCAAATGTTCTGTAATTAAAACATTTCACTAATTTAATCTGGTCCTTTGGCTTCTTCCACTTAATTACTTGAAGTGATTGTTTTATTATACCAAATTTTTTCCTTTCATTTTGAAGCTGTAGGTTTTTAGGTAGAGAACCTGAAACAGGCATTCTATGGTGTACGCTAATGAGAGATGCAAAGAAGGAAAGTGCATTGTCTGAAAAAAACAAGCCACGGTGGGTTAAAAAAAAAAAAAAAAAAAGGTACAGGAGAGTGAACTCATTTTACTATTGCCAGCAGCTTGAGGCTCGAGAGTGCTAATCAAAATTCACATACAAAACTTCCCTGATAGATTTAACAGTTTTGTACTGTTAAGAGGGGTTCTCACCATGTGAAAGATGCACTGCTGTGCTGAACAAAACAGAGACAGTTTTCTTTTAAAGTCCAGAGCAGATGAGAGCCATAAGGAGACAGAGGGTTTCATTTACTCTCAGGACACGATTGTGCCAGTGAACTAATGAGTCTCTTGGACCTTATGTTGCTCTGGCTTCAATTGAGGCGAGACTCTAATGGCCATGTAGTACTTCCTATCCGTCAAGTGTCTGGACAATGGGCCCCTCATATGGATTAGAATGATCTGGCAAGAAAAAGAGGTCATCATTGTACCTAGCACAGGCAGGAAACCTGGCTAATTAATGTATTTCCAACTATAGCAAAACAAAAGCTGACACACACAAAAATGTTGACTTTATTGCAGGAAATCTTAGCTTGTGGCTGAGGCACTGTTAAAAATTATTGAAATTCCATACATAAAATGATACTCCTAGTTTCCCCAACATATTCACATATTTTTAAAGATCTAAAAGTATTCTTTAAAACGACTGTGCAATTTTGGTATTGTGACTTGCATATTTTACCCTTCTGTAAAGCTGGATGATATTGAAATATTTTGAACAATTGAGAATCGAATGCTAAGAGTATCAGCACTGCATAATTTTAACAATTTGCACTTTAAAAGGTATTGTTGAATTATGATCATAAAAATCCTACTGCTGTATTAAATGGAGAATTAGAGATTACAAATGTTTATTCAAGATAGAGGGCTCGAGTTACCCTATATATTAAACTAAGAGCAGATACTGCCACCTAGATAAATTCTGATGCTTTGGTTAACTAGATGTTGGTTTACCTTACTTTTTGAGAAATGGCAACAACAAACAGTAGTGGCTTGGTACAAAAAAAAAAACCAAACAAACAAACAAAAAAAAAACAATGATAAAGGGTCACCTTAAAAACCCATGTAAAAATAATTTTCTTGGGGAAAAGATGACCCATTTTGCCAAATAGCAATGATTAAGGCTTTATTCAATTTTTTAAATGCAGAAGACAAATTACTCTTAGAAATAGGAGGAGAAAACTTTGTAAGACATAAACAAAAGCTCCATAATCCTGAAGTTTATAAAGAGGTAGAAGAGATGTGCTATCAGTAAGACTCGTAACTTTCTTGTTATATTATTTCTTCCTGAGTTCGGGAAGAAAAGGAGATTGTTCAACACCTCAAGTAAAAGCACAAATAGGTTTTAGTTTAATAGGTAAAATAATATCACTTAATATTTTTTTTCTAAAAAGAGCATTACATTATAATCTGTTTTGATAAACCTCCTAGCAAACAAAGCAAACTAACTCCACTCCCCACTCTTATTCCTAACAGCAAAAAGAATGTTGCCCTTTTTTTTGACTCCAGATTAGAATCCAAAATCAGCAGTATATTCCAGGAGCATTCATTTATCAGGTTTAGAGAGGTTTTTATCATCTTTGGACTGTTTTAGCTCTTCTTCAAATCTTATTTTGTTTTCCTCTGTTACTCCTAGAATGGCTTCAATGTCATCAATGGCAGTCTGTAAATGAACAATAAAAATAATATTCTTTTTTTAAAAAATAATATTCATTACTTAAAGACCTCTTACAACTCTTTCCCCCACCTTAATTATTTCTCCTTTTTGGATTTGAATATAATTTAGACTAGTTAAACTCAAAGTGTATTTTGCCAACTAGCACCTATCTGTGTCATCAGTCCTGAAATGAGTAAAAAAATTGAGAGTAAGAACTTGGAAACCTTTATAGAAATTTTTACAGCACTAAATCAAACCCAAAAAATGGGCTTCTATTTTATACATCTTTAATTTATTTCATTTTTTTTAGTAATTCCAGAAGTGCTGATCCATGATAGGTTGGAAAAAACAAATTCACTACAGATGATTTGAGAAGCTCTTGTCTAGTCATCCTTAAATGAGGGCTAGTAGACTTGATGGGAGTATTTACTCCCATTGGTTTTTCCCATTGGACAGAAAAATGGCACCTTTCCCATTTATTTAGCTATTTTTTTTATTGAGGTAGTATTCACATACCTTAAAATTCACTCTTACAGAGTTCAACTCATGGTTTTTAGTATATTCACAAGAAACTATCATTACTATACAATTATAGAACATTTCATCACCCCATTTAGAAACTCTGTGCCCATTAGCAGCCTTTCCTTATTTTCCTCCTCCCCAAGCTCCTGACAATCTCTAATCTACTCATTATCTCTATGGATTTGCCTACTCTGGATATTTCACATAAATGGAATCATACAATATGTGGCCTTTTGTGTCTGACCTCCTTCACTTAATGTTTTCAAGGTTCATTTGTCTTGCAGCACAGATCAGACCTGCATTTCCTTTTTATATCTGAATAATATTCCATTTTATCTATTATCTATTTTTACTTTGATTGTTTGCACTTTAGGTATTGTACCTAAAAAGGCATTGCTAGCTACAAGGTCATGAAGATTTATTTATAGCTGTGTTTTCTCCTAAGAGTTTTTTATTTTTATTTTTATTTTTCCTAAGAGTTTTATAGTTGTGACTCTTACATTTAAATTTTTGATCCATTTTTATTTAGTTTTATATATGCTGTGGAGTAGAGGAACAGCTTCATTCATTTGTATGTGGATATCTGTGTTTTGTGTTTTCTCCAGTACCATTTGTTAAAAAGACAGTTTTTTTCCCATCAAGTTGTTTTGGCACCCTTCTTGAAAATCAGTTGACTATAAATTTATGAGTTTATTTTGGACTCTGAATGATCTATGTCTATTCTTGTGCCAGTACCACACTGTCTTGATTACTGGAGCTTTGTAGTTAAGTTTCATATATTGATTTTTTTTAAAAAAGATTTTATTTATTTATTTTAGAGATAGAGTATGGAAGGGGTGGAGCAGAGGGAGAGGGATAAGTAGACTCTGGGCCAAGTGTGGAGCCCCACTCAGGGCTCAATCCCATAACCCTGAGATCATGACCTGAGACAAAATCAAGGTCAGATGCTTAACTGACTGAGCCACCGGGACACTCCATTGTAGTTAAGTTGAGAAGCATAATTCCCCTTTGTTGTTCTTTTTAAAGATTATTTTGACTATTTTGGACCCTTTGCATTTCTACAGGAATTTTAGGATCATTTGGTAAATTTCTGCAGTAAAGCCAGCTGGGATGCGGATAGGAATTGGTGTTGAATCCATAGATCAATCTGGGGAGTATTATTTAGATCTTCTTTCTTTTATGATGGACAGATCTTGTACTTTTTTCTGTTAAATTTGTTACTAAGTATTTTATTCTTTTTGATGCTATTATAAATGGAATTTTTAAAAAAGTTTAAATTTAAAATTAAATTTATTTTTGGATTTTTCATTGCTAGTATATAGAAATACAATATGTCTCTGTATTGATCTTGGGTCTTGCAAACTTTCTCAACTTGGTTATTAGATCTAATATGTTGTTTCTGGGTTCATTAGGATTTCCTAAGTACAAGATCATGTTATTTGTGAATAGAGATAGTTTTACTTTTTTCTTTCTAATCTGTATGCCTTTTATTTCTTTTTCTTGCTTAATTGCTCTGGCTAGAACCTCGAGTACAATGATGAATAGAAGTGGTGAGAGCAGATATCTTTGTCTTGCTCCTGATCTTAAAAGGAAATCTTTCAGTCTTGCACTGTTAACTATGATGTTGGCTATGGTTTTTCCCTAACCCATAGGTTGAGGAAGTTCCCTTCTAATCATAGGATGAGTGTTTTTAGGAAATTGTGTTATATTTTGTTAAATGCTCTATCTGTACCCCTTTCCATATTTATTTAGTCTTTGTAAATCCTTTATAGAAGGATTGAGAAATTGCAACAACAAACAGTAGTGGCTTGGTACAAAAAAAATGTTTTGTCGATTTAAAAAAAAACAAAAGGTGCAGGAGAGTGAACTCATTTTACTACTGCCAGCAGCTTGAGGCTCAAGAGTGCTAATTACTAAAATGAATCTATTCCACTTTTCAGGTTTTGTCATTGTTTCTAATTTGTTAAGATTTAAAGTTTTTACCTTTAGACATTTTGGTAAGAGTAAAAAATATCAAGATAACATTGTTTCACTTGAGAAGGCTAGAAACCATGAGATTTAAAAGCTACTTGGAAACATCTGACTTGAGAAGGCTAGAAACCATGGGATTTAACCTACTTGGGAACATCTGACTTTTGATAATTTTGAAAGTCAGGTAAATGGCAGAGAAATAGCCTTCATTTTCTCAGTAGTATTTGACTCTGCTAACCTCATGTCCAAGCTTGGGGTTTACCAAGTCTGTGTGGTTTTGAAGATAAACCACCTGTCTTAGTCTGCAGGCCCAGGCCTGCTATAATAAAATACCATAGACTGGGTGGCTTAAGCCGCAAAAATTTATTTATTATGGTTCTGAAATCTGGGCAGTCTCAGTTCAGATGCCCAGCCAATTCAATTCCTGGCAGGAGCTCTCTTCCTGGCTTGCAGACAACCTTCTCTTTGCTGTACTCTCTCAAAGTGGTGGGGGTGGAGACAGGTTAAGAAAGCAAACAAACTCTCTGTTCTCTTATAAGGGCACTAATCACATCAGGAGGTCCCCACCCTCTTGACCTCATTTAAACAATACACCTCAAATGTCCCTTTACCATATATCATCACATTGGGGGTTAGGGCTTCAACATGGAAATTTTGGGAGAACATAATTTAATCCATAGCACCATTTGATTCTGGTTATTATATTTGGATAGACTAGATTGATCATGTGCTTAGAATTTTGCACATGGCAGTAACTGATGAAATGATGCTAGCTGACAGTAACTTAGAATATAAATGAAGAGATAGATCCTTTCAGACCAGTGAAAGCTGATGCAGCACTGGGCCTATTTTTCATTGAGTCTTAGTCATGTTGTAGGAAAAGCAATGGTCATTCTTTCAACTCATAGAATCACATTGAAGAGGAAAGCATTATCATTATTATTACTGTTATTAGAGAGACCAGGCCCTAGTGCAAGGAAAATACATTCAAAGTTTACATTTTTAGCTTTCATTGGGCTTTCCATTTAAGAGAAAGATCACATGTGGTTTCCAATTGAGTCCTTTGAGTTACTTGACCTGTTCAAACATGATGAAGGCCCATGCTGGGAATCAGATGCAGATTTTGGTGATCAATACCAGCTATTCACAGAAACAGACACAATGATCAATGGAACAGAATAGAAAACTCAGAGATGGACCCACAACTCTATGGTTATCTAATCTTCAACAAACAGAAAAGAATATCCAATGGAAAAAAGACAGTCTCTTCAACAAATGGTGTTGGGAAAACTGGACAGCCAGGTACAGAATGATGAAACTGGACCACTTTCTTACACCATACACAAAAATAAATTCAAAATGGATGAAAGACCTAAATGTGAAATAGGAACCATCAAAATCCTAGAGGAGAACACAGGCAGCAACCTCTTTGACCTCAGCCACAGCAGCATCTTACTAGGCATGTCACCAGAGGCAAGGGAAACAAAAGAAAAATGAACTATTGGAACTTCATCAAGACCAAAGGTTCTAAAAAAAAAAAAAATACCAAAGGCTTTTGCATAGTGAAGGAAACAATCAAGAAAACTAAAAAATCTATGGAATGGGAGAAGATAAAGGGGTAGTATCCAAAATCTATGAAGAACTTATCATACTCAACACTGCAAAAATACATAATCCAGTTAAGAAATGGGCAGAGGATATGAATGGACATTTTTCCAAAGAAAACATCCTTATGACTAACAGACACATGAAAAGATGCTCAGCATCACTCATCATTAGGGAAATACAAATCAAAACCATGATGAGGGGTACTTGGGTGCCTGTCAGTTAAGCATCTACCTTTGGCTCAGGTCATAATCTCAGGATCCCAGGATGGAGTCCTGCATTGGGCTTCTGCTCAGTGGGGAGTCTGCTTCTCCCGCTCCCCTCTCCCTCTGTGCTCACACACACACTCTCTCTCCAATAAAAAAAATCTTTAAAAAAAAAAAAAAACATGATGAGACACTACATCACACCTGTCTGAATGGCTAAAATTAACAACACAGGAAACAACAGATATTGGTGAGGCTGGGGAACCCTCTAACACTGTTCACAGGAATGCAAACTGGTGCATCCACCCCGGAAAACAGTATGGAGGTTCCTCAAAGAGTTAAAAATAGAACTACTCTGTGATCCAACAATTGTACTACTAGATATTTATCCAAAGGCTACAAAAATGCTGATTCAAAGAGGCACATGCACCCTGATATTTATAGCAGTGTTATCAACAATAGCCAAACTATGGAAAGATAAAGAAGATGTGGTATATATACACAATGGAATATTGCTGGGCCATCAAAAAGAATTAAATCTTGGCATTTGCAATGACGTGGATGGAGCTAAAGTATATTAAGTGAAATAAGTCAGAAAAATACAAACACCATATGATTTCACTCATATGTGGAATTTAAGAAATAAAACAGATGAGCATATGGGAAGGGGAACAAAAAAAAAGAGAGGGAAGCGAACCAGAAGAGACTCTTAACAATAGAGAACAAACTGAGGGTTGATGGAGGAGGGTTGGAGATGGGCTGAATGAGTGATGGGTATTAGAGAGGGCACTTGTGTGATGAGCAGTGGGTGTTATATGTAAGTGATGAATCACTAAATTCTATACCTGAAACCAACCTGACACTATATGTTAACTAGAATTGAAATAAAAAATTGAAATGAAAAAAATACCAAGTGTTCATCTCTGTTCAGCCTGTGTTTCAAAAACTCTTGTGTGGTTCTTGTTCCTGTTTTCTTGTTCTTGTTCCTGTTTCTAGAGTTTGGAGACTTCTGATCAATTACATACAAGTAGTTTTCATGGACCAATATCTATAAAGGCCATTTGGAAGCTTCAAACAGGTTAGTGATGAAATTTCTGCTCCACTTTGAACAAACAGGGTGTACAAGGCCCATGTATATGCTGAGGGGTTTTTCTGTTTCTCCCTACTATGTATTATCCTTCCTGGGGTCTCAGAACTCCTCTGGCTCTAGAAACATGGCCTCCCCAGGAATCCTTGGCCAGACACTGCATTATCTGAAATGTAAATAGGTTACATTCAGGATTTTTTTGTGGTGACTGTCTCTGTTTTGGTTTCATTGTGACACTTCAGCTTCACCTCTGATCTCAGAAAGCCCTGTTGTCTTGTAAACTGGGTTTTGAAATGGCAGCAACTTAAAACAAGTCTACTATATTTCAAAGAAAAAATTTCAAACTATTAAATTTAACTAACAGGTTCAGTGGGAACCTTATAATATTGACCCTGTGCATTATAAGATCTGTACTGCTTCACAATAATAAAAAAAATGGTTTAGCACTTGTTTACAATACAGCATGAGGTATTTTCAGTCCTTGTATAGAAATTAACCAGAATCGTTAGTTAATTAACACCTCACCTTAAAATTGGTCTCGCCTTGCATATTAGGTGCTGATATTTCTTGATGGATGATGAAGAGATTTCGAGCAAAGGTCATGAGGACCCCCTGGAGATCTTCACCGATTGTTCTGTTAATGATATCCAAACAAATGAGTTTACCAACGATTCCCCTCACATGCTTAAAAACAATCACCCTCTCATTTGTGCCTGTCTGGTGGTGGAATTTAATGAGTATTTTCAATCTCACAAGGTGGCAATCTTCAGGGAGATATGAAAGATGAGGCTCCATTTTAACTTGCCAACAAAGAGGATTTGTGTAATAAATATTTTTTATTAATCAACTTAGCAGAATATAAGAATAGCTTCAGTCATTCCTAGCAAAAGGCTACCACTGAGCTAGGATAGTAGTATTAGCTCATTTAAAAAAATGTTGAAATCAGCTGAAGAGAATTGTTGCTAAGTATAATTCATAGCCAACAATTTCCTTGTCTACAGAGATACTTGCACCCAGTATTCTGGAGACTTTTGTCTGGGGCTTATTTTCTATTTATGAGTATGCTCCATCCATGTTCCTAGGAGAATGTGTCTCATTTCTGAATATCCAGCTTTATAAAGCTGAACACACACTTGAAGATTTCAGAGATAATTTGCAAACTATCCTGTAAAATTACACAGTGGTCAGTGAACATTCCTCAACAGCTGGATTGTTGTTAAATTTTAACTTTGTAACAAAATGCAGGGTATTTTTTTCTGGTTATTTTGTGAACTTTCTGTATCAAAGGGAAAAAAACCCAGATTAAATGAACGGATTGATTTTTAAGAATTGTTCTGTCCTGAGGGTACAACACAAAAGAGCTGCCTCTTAAGGCAACTGCAAAGAACTTGGGTTACTTCCTTCCCAGTTGTTACCTGTAAAATAAGTCATTTTAGAGTGTAAGGCTTAAACACCCTTAGAATGGCTGCCGTCCAGCCTGATTAGGCTTTTTTCCTGTAGGTCAGGCTAGGAGCAGAAAGTTTCCCAGGCCCCAGGACGGGAGACTTTGTCCTGCCACTGGCAATGTGACTTTGGGAAGAAAGCAGCTTGAGCTCTCTGGGTCTTTCTTTCTTTTTTCTTTAATGAAGGAATTGGACTGGATTAGTGCTTCCAAACTTTTGGAGTTACAGTCCCCAAATCCAAGGACTGTCTACTCTTGCTTCTCATAGTTAGTGAACATTAGTATTATTGCCTTTTTTAAGAGAATAATAGCCAAAGGCAACTTAGAGTCCATAATTCTTAAAAGTGATTTGTACTTTATTGCCACAGAGGCAGTAAGTAATAGACACCGGGCACAGCAGATTCCTGGGCCCCAGCAGATGAATAAAATCAGAATCTTTGGGTTTGGGATCCAGGAATGTATAGTTTCACTGAGACCCCAGATGATTCAGATAGCTAGCTAGCTAGATATAGAAAGAAAGAAGATTGAAGCCCATACTTAAAAAATTTGTGTGTGTGTGCATGCGTGCGTGCGTGCGTGTGTGTGTGTGTGTGTACAATGCTGGGCCCACACATGGATTCATGGCCTCTTGCCATCTCTCCTTAGTCTCCTGGGGTCCATGGTCCCCAGGTTGTAAACCAAGAGACTGAATAAACTCTAAGTCTTTTTCCATATTAATTCATTTCTAGAATTTCCTTCATTTTTCCTTCCTTGAAATTTCTTGAATTCTGCTATTCCCAGAAATATACCAGTATAAATGGAGTCAGTATGAAGTTATTCTGGCAAAGCCAAACCACAGAATTCTGGTAAGGTCATCCTTCTGGGAGCCCTTCCCTTTCCTAAAGAGGTGGCTGACTAACATTCTTCACCTGATGTGAACTGATTGTAACAAAACCAACCAGCTCGTGAAAAGCCTCTCCTTAAAACCCTAGAGAAAATCCACACAACACAAAGAAAGTTTGTATTTGCTCATCTTTTCTTTTTCAATATGAGTTCTAGAAAAGACTTTCTCCTGGTCATTGTCTATTAAAATATTTGTTCTCAACCTCCATGTCCATGTATCAGTGCAATTCCTGATGTACTAACTGTAATTCCTCCCATTTATCACATACCTAAGAAAGTACAGCTGTATGCAAGTGAGAATTTCGGGAGTAATCTTGAATCCTACCTAATACTCAGAAAAAGTAAATTAATGCACTTGGTCTAAACTTACATGGGTAGTGATGAGCTTTACAGTAGGCTGAGAATCTCTATAATAGGGTTCCCCAGGTAAGGTAGCCATACCTTATGGGAAAAGTACACTAGATTCAAGGTCCGGAGACACTTGTAAACCACATCTCTGTTTGAACACCCAGTTTGTTTTCTACACTAGGAGAGTCCGTTAATCCCCAGGGTCCTTCCTTTCCCCAATATTCTCTGGTTCTATGGCTGGAGGGAAAGGATGAGAAAGATGAGATAGGAAATAATAGACAAGGCTCTAGAATCTTCAGGAGGCCCACATGCATCAACAGTGCCCTTTCTGTAGGATATGTGAGTAGCAGTACCATCTAGAAGGTACACCAGCAGAGCTATTTCCACCACCAAAGCTAGCCTACAGGTCAAGATATTCCTGCTTGAAGTCTCAGGAGCAGGTGTAGGGATAGGGTAGTTGGGCGAGCTCCTCTTCATCACCAGTCTAATTATTCATTCTGTAGGCTTCATCATCAAACCAACTTTGCTGCTCAGTTTGATGATTGGGGAATTTCCTTTCTTACATAAGTATCTTCTGTCTCCTAAATTCCCTGATGCTGTCCTCTTGCCTGGTTCCTTGGTGCTCAAGTACCCACCTGGATACATCTTGTGACTCATGCTGCAGGAACTTGGCCATCCCTGTTAACACTATCCCTGTCTCATCCTGTCAGTTGTAGGATACCAGTTCTGTTCCTGCATGTCAGCCTCTTCTGGGTTCTGCCACTTGGTGACAGGCTTTCTTCATGCCATCCCCTTACTGGCCTGGGTCTGTAAATGCAGCTTCCTCTTTGAGCTCCTATGGTGGTGCTCCTCCCAACTAACTCTCTGGATATCCGTTCACTCTCTGTAGTTGACTTTTCCTGATGCTGTGAGCTGTTGCTCTTTGGGATGATGTCCTGGTGCCTGGACTCCCTGGGTAATTGGCTTCCCTGGCTGCTCTCCTCCCTTTACCTGAAGGGTCCTGTCCCTCCCAGCTTCATTTCAGTGCATGAGAGGTTGTGTAATTCCAGTCCTGGCCCAGCTTGTACTTTGCAGTTTACCTTTCAGACCAGCCAGTACCTGGTAGGGCAGGGTTCATGTTTCTCTGTTCTGATTTCTAGTTCTTGTACTTAACTAACCTACTTCTCTGAATTCCTGAGCTTAGACATGTACTTGGACCTGGAACTTTACCTGCTTAATTAGACTCATAATTCTGAAAATACAAAGTTCTTATACCCCAGCTTGCCAACTTTAAATCCATTGACTGCTTGATTCTCTCAGTCCTGGTGACTGCTGGGTGGCCTGTGTCCTGCCACAATCCTGGGCACATTAACTCCTTTACTTATTTACTAACTGTCCACCCATGACCATGTCAGTTTCATGAAGGCAGGGACTTTCTTTTGGTTCACTGCTATATACCTAACACCTACAATGGTACCTGGCACTGTTGATAAAATACTTTTGAATTTTCTGGTAGTGAGGATAGGGCAGGGGGAAAGTAGAGGGATAGAACATTACTGGGAAGCAAAGGGCAGCTCCTTCTCTGCACATGCACAGAGGTATCCCTGGCTCTGTTTTCCTCCTAGACATGAATATCCAGGCAGATAAGATGAATGTATACTTGTTGGGTGTTAGGTCTTATTCCTGTTGCTCTCCTGACAGCATAACAAGAGTGAGGAAGACAGCTTAAAATGAACAGTGAAGGGACTCTCCTAACATGACCCAGTAAATTTTACATGTTTATGGGACTTTGGGGAAAGGTGGGGACTGGAAGGGATGACTCAGGCAGCCAGCTCTCCACTCAAGTGAAGAGAAGCATTTAAGACTTTAAACACTAGGTTGAACTGTTAGCCACATTCTGGCTACAAAGTGGGGGGAGGCTGAATATCTCTGCACTGATAAGGGCCTATCGTAAGTGACAGTGCTGTGGTAAAACAAAGGACCGTACTTAGGAAAGGGGAGTGCGTGTTCTGTGCATGTCTTTGCCCATTTCAGTGTGCAACTCTTGGGACCAGTTTCCAGGGGATTGAGCACCTAGGAGAAACTGAGGCTACTCAGGACATTGGTGCTTAGTAGAGGAATTAGCTCTTATTTGGTTTTTCATGAGACCAGATCTTAGTGTATGTATGCATTTCAATTCGAGGCCACAATGTCTACACTGGTATAGAAGTCACAAGGAAGAAAAATATAGGCAGAAACAGTTTCCCAGTAAGTTAAGATAATTTAAAAGTATCAAATGGCCGTATTCCAAGATATGAAATAAGATCGTGTCTCTAAAGTACAAATCCTAGATCAGAAGACAAATTTGCTAGCTCTCCAGAATATGCTGGGGAGAAATTTGCAGGAGATAGGAAACAGACCAGCCTCCTGAGTGCTGCTGGCAGGACTCTTAGCATACATGCATCAAGGGCTGACTGGAGCTGAGGAAGGGCTATGGACCCTGTCTTTTGGGAAAGCATCTTGCCAAGTCACCAGAGCACTTTTCTAAGCATACCAGAATGACACCTGCCCTTCTACAATATGGATGTCTGATCTGGTTCCTCCTCAGTCAGATTTATTGTGTCTTATATGTGTATGTGTTTGAGTATAATATGTTGTTGGAACTAGCCTCTTTCCCATAAATTTTGGATAATTAATCAGTTATATTTATGAACCCCCACTGACACATCTAAAGTCATTTTATGAAATACTTGAAGATCTAAATAAAACAAGATAGACTTCCAATAAATCAGTACGCTGATTAAAATGCATGAGAAGCATCATTCTTATTGGATGGTATAGTCTATTTTCATAGTTTATCACATCTCATAGACACACTTCATACTCACAACATTCCCAACTTGTTTCTCTTCAGGTGTTCATATAATATAAAAACAGTTCCTTGTCTCTCCTAGAAAATTTGAATAGGGAGAAAAGAAATAGCATATTATCTCAGAAGCAAAGAAAACATACTACACTAAGACCATTAAGACTGATTGGAATTAAAATCCAGAGCTACCTTCAAATATTGTGAAAAGCACATTTTGGGAAGCTGTCTCCTGAATATGGAATAGATACGTTCTGGAACAGCAATGTTGTTGTTGTCAATTTAGATATAATTTACATATAACATTGTGTAAGTTGAAGGTATATGCCTTGATCTGATACATTTATATATTGTGATATGATTACGACTGTAGCCTTAGCTAACACTTTTATCACGTTTTATAATTATTTCTTCTTTGTGGTGAGGACATGTAAGATCTAGTCTCTTTGCAGTTTTGAAGTATATAATACAGTATTATTGACTATAATGACCATGCTATGCTTTAGATCCCTAGAACTTACTTGTCGACTAGTTGCAAGTTTATACCCTTAAATGGTATCTCTGCAATTCTCCTACTTCCCAGCCCAATAGCCACAATTTACTCAGTTTCTGAGCTCAGCTTTTTTAGTTCCAAATATAAGTGATATCATAAAGTGTGTGTCTATCTTTTTTATCTCACTTAGCATAATGCCCTCAATGTCCAATCATATTGCAAATGGCAGGATTTCCTTCATTCTCATGACTGAATGATATTCCATCATATATATACATACATATAAAATATTTTCCTTATCCATTCACCCATCAATGAACACTTAGACTCTTTCCATGTCTTGGCTATTGTGAATAATGCTACAGTGAATATGGGGGTACAGATAGCTTTTTGAGATACTGATTTGGTTTCCTTCAGATATATGCCCAGAAGTGGAATTGCTAGATCATTTGATGGTTATATATTCAATTTTTTGAGGAACCCCTGCACTGTTTTCCACAGGGGCTGAGCCCATCAACATGCCCAAGGGTCCTCTTTTCTCCATAGCTGTGCCAAAACTTGTTATCTCTTGTCTAGGGCAGTGTTTTGTTTTGTTTTTGAATATGATCTTCAGAACATCTGTATCAGAATTATCTAATGTGCTTGTTAAAAAGGCATTTTCATAGGCATCGTCCAAACTCAAGATCTTTGGGAGGTAATCTGACTTTCAGTTTACTTCCTGAGTGATTCTCATGCAAATCAAAATTTGAAAACCACTATTCTGAGAGCAATGGGTAAAAATATATAGGGAAACAATTTATTGTGTGGAAAATAATTTGTATTTCAATGGAATTTATGGCACACCCTATTGCGTTGATTTTATGGAAGAGATTTACAACTCTCTAAATTGTGGGTGACTGAGAGACAAATTCTGGGAGAGGTTCAGTTGATTTTCCTCATCTGCTCCCCTTATGGAAAAACCAGTTTTTTCTCTATTTGCATGTCCATTTCAGTATTCCTGATCTATAAAGATGTCTTGGGTTTTTGGATTTTTTTTTTTGTACTGGTTATAACATCTGTCTGATTTTTCTGTTAAGTAAAATACCATGTTTTTATTTTTGGATGTGTATAAGAGGCATGATTTTATCCTTTTTTGAAAATTATCTTTAAACCGTTTTCTCCAAATAAATAAAAAGTTAACTCTGGAGTTGTCCAGTAGTGGAAATGGCTGTCCTGTGAAGTTGTAAACTCATCATGCAAAGTCTAAAAAAGAACTATTTTCAAGATTTGGTAAAAGAAATTACATGTTAGAATTGAGACTGTTGACTCATTTTGTCGGGGAACATGGGCATTAGGACAGGCATTGGATTAGAACAGTGGCTCTCAATGCTGGCTGCATATTAGAAGCATCTGAGTGCTTTATTTTGATTTTTAAGATAATGCATTATAATATTTTTATCAGTATTAGTAAGTATTTTTGGTGCTTCCTTAAATTTTGTGCTCTGAGTATGGGGCCTCACTTGTCTCATCCCAATCCCAGCCCCACTGGCCTTCTGTACTTTTTAAAGCTCCTCACTCAGGTCATTCTAATGGGCAGTCAGGGTTGAGAACCACTGACTAGTTTATCTGTAAGGTATCCTTTGCATCCCTTTCTGTACTGTCCAATATGGTAGCCACTAGGCACATGGGGCTACTGAGAACTTGAAATAAATATGAGTAGTCCAAATTGAGATGCACTATAGCTTTCAAAATCTGAGTACAAAAAATGTAAAATTATGTCATTAATAACTTTTATGCTGATTACATATTGAAATATTAGTTTTGTTTGAGGAGGGAGCATCCTTTTCTTGATACTGATTTCTGAATCAGTAGGTAGGCTGGGTCATGCTGCAATAATTCTAAAAAACAAACTCAATTCCTAGTTGTTTGTAATAACAAATATGTGGTTCTTGCTTGTACTCTACTCTCCACATGAGCTGGCATGGGTCTCTAGTATACTCAGGGAACCAGGTGAAGGAAGCTCTGTCTCAGTGTGCTTCCATGATTTCTAAAGTAGGAAAATGGACATGGCAACTCATGAAGTAGCCCTTGAAGGCTTCTGCATCGAAAGGACATGTATCACTTCTGCTTATATGTCATGAGGCCAAGTAAGTTATTTGGCCATACTTGACTTCAGGGAGAGGGCTGAGGAAGTATACGCCTATTATGTGCCTGGAAGGAGGAGAATCAGAACATTTGTGAACAGCTCTAATAATTGCCACCACCATGGCAGTACCCTGGCCCGAGGAAATGACTGCTGGTGGTTATGGAGATATTTAGGACCATGGCACACTGCCTATGTATGTGTGAGACCGGCCCTTCCCCACACTGTCACAGGCGGTAAACGTGAAACTTTTCTCCATATGGCTTTCATTACAACTTCATTTCATTAGGAAATCAGTGGGGGTATTCTGTTGCATTACAGAAATACCAAGAACAAGACCCACCAAGTTGCTCACAAACTCTATAATCCTTCCTTCCAATATTCAGCAAGGAAAATACACTTGTGAGGCGATCTCATTTCCCTGTTTTCCCCCTCAAGAGTTTGGGTACGAAACATTGGAAATTCTGTGATCATCAAGAAGAGAGACATAAATGTCAAGAAACAAGGACTTTTGAGGATTCTTTTGATAACATTGACAATTGATGTATTAATGTTGCTTCTTTTTCTGGAAAGAGCACCCATATTAAATTTGACCAACAGTGGGAGTGGGTAGTGGAGGCTTTTTAGACTTAGCATAACCCAAAGAGGCAATAATAGTTTAGAGAAGTTAGTATTAAACATAGCTTTTTTTTTCCTCTCTCTCTCTTTTGTAAGGTAGAGAGACATGGGGGCCACAGAGAAGTTTGTGCTTCTTTAGTTGAAGAATACATATAGGGTGCCTAGATGGAATATTTTATTTGAAATAATTCCCAGCACTTTTGGACTGGGTTGTAATAATATTTTAGAAATACAAATAGTTTTTAGGGGAAAGACTATAGGGGGAAAAGATGCATAGGGAACACCCTTGGTGTAAGAGAATCATGTTTGACTTTATGGATTCAAATGTTAGTTCCACAAAGTGCCTGGCTGTGTGATGGTGGGAAAGTGCTGAAACCCTTGAAGCCTAAATTCCCCCATGTAATGCAGGAGAAATAGTAGCTTCTTAGAGAAGAGATTGGAAGATTGAAGAGGTAATGAAATAGTGCTTTGCTCAGTGGCCAGCACATAGCAGATGCTCTGCAAATACTGGTTCATCACCCATCTCTTCAGAAAAAGGCAGTTAAGAGAACAAGAGGACAGCTCAGACTAGGGCTGAACCCTGAATCTAAAAAGATGAGAACCCATCTCAGGGAAACTGGAGCAGGAATACTGTTGGAGAATCTCCAGTGACTCCTTTTTCTCACCTTAGAGTTTTAGGACTTCGTATTTTTCATCTCTGTCTCTCTTCTTGTACTTTCTTTATATCATTTGTTCTCTTTCTCTTTTTCCCCACCTCCCCCCTTTTTGTGGATTCTTCCTGTGTTTGGATTTTATCCTCTCTCTTTTCTTCATATTGTTCTGTCACTCCATTGTCCCCAATCCATATTTCTCTTTCTCCCTCATTTCAGCTCTCATCCTTTGTAGGATGTGTAGCACAGGTGACTTGGAGACAGAGCCAGTTATGTAGTGGGTGCCCCTCTGGTCCTCTCTGTCATTGTCCTCACCTTCAGTGGAACTCCTCCCTCTGCACCCTCCACTGTTCCCCTGGGGTCATAGCAGTCTGTTTATCATACTAAAACTTGTTCTTAGAAATGACTGTGATCGACTCATAGGCCATAAAGGTCTAAATAACTTATAAATTTGGTGCTTTACTTTGCTCAGAAATACTAGAACTTCAAGTAGAAAGCCTTTAGCCAAAGAAATAAATCTCTAATAATAATTTCAGGCAATAGAAAAATTACGAAGGATATTTTCTCCTGGGAAGGAGACTTTCCCTGCCAAATATGCCTATTTAGAGAGCCTGTTCCACTTTGATATTTTAGAAAAATGAAATAAAATAGATTCAGAGAAAGCTAACATTAGACTTAGCTATCTTCTGGCATATGGAAGTGTTTCGGTCTAATCAGTTTGGGGCTAAAAACTATTTAATTCCAAAAGGATTCTGTAGAGCAGATGTAACAATTAATTTCAGGTAAATCAGTTCAATCTGGCTTTTTCATTCTTTCTTATATTTTACCAATTTTAATGTAATTTGTAAGGGAATATGAGCTCCATTATATGTGTTTGCAGACAGCATGAATCAATCTAACCCAAGAGCCTTATGCACTCTGACGGTGCCCATGGTAGTGGGGACATTCTATTCACTACTGGCCTCATGCCTAAGGTCTATGTGCTTTTCAAGAGCCTATAAAAAAACTGACCCCTTAAACATTGTATTTGCTCTCAAGTATGAGAAATGAAAATTAACAAATGTAGAACTGAATGTCTCTAAATCAAAACATTTGATCAATTAGTTGTTGCTCAATTCTGTCATCTATAAATGACTTTTAATATGGAAGGTGACTATATTTTAATATGTGTGATGTCATGTGGGATGAGTCTTCCATAAGTAAGAGTGCATAGGTCCTCAGGTCTTGGAATAAACCATCAGTGTCAGAAATTTGAAAATCGGGCAGCTCCGGTGGCGCAGCAGTTTAGTAGCGGTTTAGTCAGTATTGGAAATAGGGCCTTTAAGGAGGTAATAAAGGTTAAGTGAGGTCATAAGGGTGGTGCCCTGTTCCAGTAGAACTGGTGTCCTTATAAGAGAGATTACAGAGACACCAGATATCTCTCCCTCCCTCCACCATGTTGGGGCACAATAAGAACGTGGCCATCTGCAAGCCAGAAAGAGTGCTCTCACCAGGAACTGAATTGGCTGGGTACCTTCTCCTTGGACTCCCAGCCTCCAGAATGGTGAGAAACAAATTTCTGTTGTTTCAGTCACCAGTCTGTGGTATTTTGCTATGGCAGCTCAAGCAGACTGAGACAGAAGGTATTCATTGATAAGCAGCTTTGAGTGGGATTAGGGAACTCAGGTCATGCTTCAGGATCAAGAGATGGTTCCCAAAATGTCTCCTAAATCTGGTGAGCTATAGGGCTTTTGCTTTACCAAGGTGAGTGTGCAGGTTTGGGACAGAGCTGAACTTCCCAAGACCAAGTGCCACCCCCTGTAAACCTATTTACCCTTTCTCAAGCAACAATCAGCTTTCCTCTGAAAACGGGTCAAATTTAAAGGATGTGGGCAGCCCCGGTGGTGCAGCGGTTTAGCACCGCCTACAGCCTGGGGTGTGATCCTGGGGATCCGGGATCATCGAGTCCCATGTCAGGTTCCCTGCATGGAGCCTGCTTCTCCCTCTGCCTGTGTCCCAGCCATTCTCTCTCTCTCTCTCTCTCTCTCTCTCTCTCTCTGTCTCAATAAATAAATAAAATCTAAAAAAATTTTTTTAAAAAGTTAAAAAAAATTTAAAGGATATCTGTTTGAAGGGACACCGAATTACTAGCTGCCTAGATCACCTATAGGCCTGTATGTGGTCCACCTTGGCCAGCTGTCAACTTCATACCTCAATGTCATAGCCGATGCCATGGGCTTTACACATTTGGAGGAAAACATAGTGGAAAACCAGGGATAGATTGTCATGTTTCAGCTGGGTGGTCATCACTGCATAGCGACTGGTTGCTGGCAACTGGAAAAGACCACAACTGCATATAAGACTCTTTACAAAACATGTAAGTCAACTCTTAACTTTAGAATAGTTCTAGGTTAACAGAAAAGTTGTGAAGATAATACAGAGGTCTTTTCCTCTTTTGTTAAGATTGCAGTGCATTTGTCACATGAGGAAACAAATTGCCTCTCTGTTAACTGAAATCTGCTCTTTATTTGGATTTCGTTTTTTCCTAAATCCCTTTTTCTGTTCCATGATCCCTTCCAGGATACCACATTGTATTTACTTGTCATGTCTCCTTAGATTCTTTTGGGCTGTGATGATTTCTCCGACTTCCCTTGTTTTTGATGACTGATAGTTTTGAGGAATCTGGATCAGGTGTTTTGTAGAATGTCCTCTGTTGGTATTGTCTGATGTTTTTCTCCTGACTAGACTGAAGTAATGTATTTTTTGAGAAGAGGACTGCCATAGGATCACCTCATATCAAGGGTACATGACTTACCATCGATGATGCCAAGTTTGATCACACCAAGGTAGTTTTTGCCAGGTTTCTCGCTATAAAGTCACTTTTGCCTGTTTCTGTACTATATTCTTTGGACTGAAGTCACTAAGGGTAGTCTTTTTTCTTGAGAGGACCAATGTTAGAATTTTGGTTCCAGCTGCTTTCTTTGCTTGAGAAAGTGCTAATCTTTATCTTGCTTGCTTATCAGTGGGAGCTATCCCAAAGAGACTGGTAATGTTTGGCCTGATGTATTTCAATTATAATATTTCCTAAACACATTTAAAATTTAGTATGTATAAAATAACGTAATAGATCCTGGCAATTTTTTAGCATGTCCTTTGTGAGATGTGACATTCGTCTTTGAAAATCAGATATGTTTATCCTGTGATAACTGGAAATTTGGAGAATAGCATGTAGGGTCATGGACAACCTTAGGACACGGAAAATGAAGGTGCCTGGCACAGATTTTGAACTTTGAGGGCCCTTGGGTGTGGAGCAACCAGGTGCTTGCCCTTGTGTAGTGACTTGGAACAGGAGAAAGAAAAGGAGGTGCTGTTGGTCCACAGCTGGCTGTAAGGATCATAATAACCTGACACTGTCTGTTGTGAAATGTCAAGGCTTGCTCTTTCTATCTCTGAGATGATGCAGGGGAACTGGGACTGACTGAATGCCCAGCGGAGTATGGACGCGTTTCCCCTGCCTGTATAACACATATGCCTACACACACTTTATCTCTTTCTCAGATTTCACATTCACCTTTTGTGACGTATTTCCCCATATATGTTGTCTTTTCCTTCAACACTTACAGAAAATACCGTACCTGATGGTCATATTTTCAGTACTCTTAAGCCTGTTCTTCCCACATATAGGCAGAGTTTACATATATAAAAATGTAAGGCGGGCTGCCCGGGTGGCTCAGCGGTTTAACGCCTGCCTTCGGCCCAGGGTATGATCCTGGAGACCCGGGATCGAGTCCCATGTCAGGCTCCTGCATGGAGCCTGCTTCTCCCTCTGCCTGTGTCTCTGCCTCTCTCTCTCTCTCTCATGAATAAATAAATAAAATCTTTAAAAAAAAAAAAGTAAGGCTCCCACAGGTAATGTATCTTGAGTCATACATCTCCATTAGTATTGTCCCATTTGTAGACACTAGGAATTTAATTTTATTTTTTAAAGGTTTTATTTATCTATTTGAGAGAGAGGGAGAGAGAGCAAGCATGAGCAGGGGGAGGGGCAGAGGGAAAAGCCGGCTCCTCACTGAGCAGGGACCCCGATGCAGGGCTTGATCCCAGGGCCCTGGGATCATGACCTGAGTTGAAGGCAGACATTTAACTGAGCCACTCAGGAACCCTGAGAATTTTAATTTTGCAGAAGAAAATCTATTGGACCCTCACATGCCTCACAACTGTACTTTGTTATCACTCTGACCTATCTTGGATTGTTCCCCTGGCTGCCTCCCTGACATAACAAGAGTTCTCTGAAGGCAGGCACTGTTTGGTTTCTGAATCCCCAGGCTGAATGTGATGTATTCAGTGTTTCCTGAATGAAAGAAAAAATGGATGCATGTAATAAGGTGTGTCAATAGCACTTTCCTCTGGCTGCAGAGACTCTTCCAATGTCATTCAGGGGACGTCCAGTTAATGAGTGCTTTGGGGGGCAGGAACGGACCCTGGAGAATGACAGAAAATCCCTAGAGAATGATAAGGATGATTGCCCCCAACAAACTGTCTCTTGGAGGACAGTGTAGCTCTGGTGGGTATCGTGGAATTATTGGTGGGTAATATGAACCGGCTAAGAGAAGTTCTGGCTCAGTTGTTGAGTCAGTCTGGAGAAGCATGATCACCAGGCCCGCTCACCCTATCATGACAGGCTGTGCCATGTTCCTGCCTCCACAATGAAGGCCCAGAAGCTTGAGCTTTTGTATATGAAAGTGAACTGTAAATACTCTGGAATTCCATTGTGGGTACTGAGCATGTAATTGCGTGGTGATTACCATGAATTCACAAGATAATTTCAAGGTTATTTTTGGCTTCTAAAGTTGTCTTATGCTGCCATAGGATATAAACTAGCAAACCTAAGACTAGGCCCTAGTCAGTGAGGGAGAGAGGTAGGCAGGCATCTGGCAGCACGAGCCAACTCATTGCTATGTATCTTGGCTCCAAAGCAAGGCAGAGAGCTCACTGTTTAGTATTCTTGGGCAACAAATAAGGACAGGCTATCCTGAGGTTTCTTCCTCTCTACAGAGACAGACTGCAGTTCCCCCTCCTGGGGGGTTAGGATTCATAAAGAATCAGAAAGAAAAGCCAGGATATTTGGTATATCTCTAAGCTGTGTCTTTTCCACTGCCATTGCCATCCTACTCCAGAGCTTTATGGCCTGAACAGCTGCTTCTCCTTCCTACTTGGGAGGCAGGGAGACAAACAGAATTCTGGAGTGAAAAAGTTATATGGATAGAGTCAGAAAAACTGAGGTTCAAAACCTGACTGACCTTGAAGGTGTCATTTAACTTGTCTGACTTTTGGGGCTTAAATAAGCATCTAGCACAGCATTTGGCTATAGTTGTCATTGCCCTTTCTTTGAAAGCATCTACTGGGCTTGGAGCATTTAGGACCTCCACTAAATGTAATTTCCCAGGCTGCTTGTTTCCCCGATGGTACCTGGGATTCCAAGCATTACCACAAGATTGATTGTTTCCCAGACCCAGGCTGGTCAGTGCTCAGAACTCTTCAGTGTCTCCTCTTTGCCTTCAAGATGAAATCCAGACACCTGACTTGGTGTGCAGACTCTCCCACATGGCTCGGGGGGATTGCTCCAACCACTTCTCCTGTTTACCCCTTCCCAAATTCTATGCCCCACCCCACCTGGTTCATTGCTAGCTCCTAACAGACAATGGGCTCTCTTTAGTCTTTGTCTCTTCTGCTGGGGAGGTCTCCTTCCTTTTGCCACTTAGTGACTGCCCTAGTCTATAAGGCAAGGCCAAGTTCCTTCTTTCTAGTAGTGTTCCCTGTCCCCATCAGTCCACCGTCCTTTCTTGTAAGAACTCCAGCAGCAGGTTGAAGAGCCATCACTCAAATGGCACTGACATGAGGCCTTGAGGTTTTCCATGTGTATGTGCTATCTACTTTATATTTATTTTCAATTCCTTGAAGACAGGGACTTTGTCAAATGTCTTTGTATCCCTGATGCTTGGTGAAATTCCTGGCTTATGTTAAGAGCTTAGTAAATATGTTATGATAATGCCAATGAGGATGAACATATGTGATACCCTTACTCTTTTTAGACTTAACCAACTCCATAGTTTCTATAGGAAAAAACTATTGATAGTCTAGGGTTGTCTTTTATTCAGCCTGATAGCACAGGTGTGACAATGTTGTAGTGAGGATTAGATGAGTATTTAAAGATATTAGCAGAGGGATGCCTGGGTGGCTTAGCTTCTGGGCATCTGCCTTTGGCTCAGGGCCTGATCAAGTCCCACATCGGGCTCCCTGCATGGAGCCTGCTTCTGCCTTTGCCTCTCTCTGTGTCTCTCATGAATAAATAAATAAAGTCTTAAAAAAAAGACCTTAGAACAGTATCTGGCACAGTGAAAGCAGTCAAAAAATGTTAGTGCTTATTATCATTTGTTAACTAAATAATTTCACAAATATGGTAAGTTATTTAAAATAAAAACCAGCTAACAAACATTTTCATCAGAAAGGGACTTAAGTCAGAAAACCTGAACTTTTCTAGTTACTTACTTTTATGACTTTGGGCAGCTTACTTACTTTTACATAGCTTCAATTTCCTAATCTGTAAAATGGGGATGATAATCCCTGTCTTATCTGTTCCTTGTGGTCATCATGGGGATCAAATAAACTCATGCCTATTTGAAGGATAAAGCATTATGCAAATAGAAAACATATTTTTTTTAAAAGGTTGACTTGGGTAATCAACTGATAGTATAAAATCCATTTCGGTTTGCTGAAGAAATCACAACCTAAATGGGATTTTACAACCTGGGAAGACTTCTCCGTGACCATCTGGCCCATTCAGTGCTGAGTCTTGGCCTAACCCAGAGCAAATTAGAAGCCAGTGTATAATGGCAGTATGCCTGGAAACAACCTCATCACAGAGGGAGCTGAAGCCTCCTTTGGAAGAAGAGCTTTCTTTCTGGCCTTAACCAAAGACTTCTTTAGGGAAAAGCTTAAACTGTACTCTGGGGCCAAATTACTGACTCTCAGCCAGTGCAAGGCAGGTTGCACAGAGCAGTGGTCAGACACTCAGGCTTTAAAGCCTGGCAGGCTTGTCTACCACATGTGCTTATTGAGTGACCTTCCATAAGTTGCTTAACATTTCTTAACCTCAGTCTTCTTAAGTAAAAATGAGTGTTGGAGGTGCCTGGGTGGCTCAGTTGAATAAATATTTCTGTTGAATAAATAAAATCTTTTAAAAAATAAATAAGTAAAAATAAAATGAGTATAATAGCCTGAGTGGCTCGGCCTGGGGGCTCAGTCAATTAAGTATCTGACTCTTGATTTCAGCTCAGGTCAAGCACCGCATTGAATTCATGCTGGGCGTGGAGCCTGCTTAAGGTCCTCTCTCCCTCCCTGCACACATGCTCTCTCTTAAAAAAAAAAAAAGTAAGCATTATAACAGCCCCTGCCTAACATATTGGGTTGTATAAAGATTCATGTAAAGTGCTTAGTTACATACCTGGTGTGGAGTAAAGGCTTAATACATTTTGGATGTTATTATGTTATTATATGTATTACAGTTATTTGTTGGCCTGTTTGTGTCTTTTGATAAACTCGGAGTTCTTTGCTGCTTATCCTTAGATCCTCTGTACTTAGAAGGGTACCTGACACAGTGTAGGTGTTGAGTAAATCTACTGAGTTTGCTTGTAGTTAGTGCCCATGGAAAGTATTAACTGATAGCTGAGGTAATGGCTGATGAGGACTTAGGATGTGACTTCTCACAATATTACTTCTTTCTAAAATATTTTGCAAGAAAAAGCCCTTTTAATGAAAAGCTGCAGTGAGTAGGGATGGGCCCTTCCTGTCCCCTTATAGGAGATAGTAGGATGCCCTCAGCACCCCAGTATACATGAGACTGCCTGGGCTAGGCATGGTACAGAGAGAGCCCCATTTAACAGGCCCCATAAGATCAAATCCCTCGAGAGACCTTGGCATTCACTTAGCCCTCCTTTATTATACAAAAGAGGAAACTGAGGCAGAGAGTGATCAGAATTCATGATCTGTAACTTTCAGACCAGTATTCTTCACTCCAAATTCCCATTGGTTACATTTGGAATGTGTAGACATTTTAGAGGCTAGCCTTTTCTAGTAAAACAGGGAAAAACTAGAAGAGAAAATATTATTGGTAAAAGTCTAGTCTTATTAAACTACCTTTCTAAATCACAATCTAACAAGAATGCTTCAAGCCAAATAAAGGAAGCTCAAAATACTCCTTTTCACTGGAGAATATAATTTTGCTTCAGCCACAATTTAAATTGATTTAGTTCTGAGCACCAGCACTTGAAGTGTAGAGCATATTCTATTTTCGCCATGATAACTTGTTTTGACAGTGATACATTTCAGTTGACATAGTTGAAATCCTTATGTAATAAATCTCTGCCTGAAAATTAATCATGTTTATAATATTCTGAGAATTAATAACACCCATTGCTCAAATCATTAACTTAAAAAAGGAGCTTCCAAAATCTGTTCTCGGCAGTAAGGGACCACAAATAAATGAATGTTTGATAAAATAATCCAAGTAGCAGTTTAACAAGCGTAAACTTGAATGTGGTTGCAATAACACAGAACTATTGTTTAAAGGTTGGCAGAGGCTGATGAGGTTCTTATTTCAGTTACGAAGCAGGCATCCACATGCATAATGAACTGCTCTCTGAATTATTAATGTGTTGCTTATTTAGCCTCATCTGTCTGGAAGATAATGTATCCTAACTCTAATGAGTGATTGGTTTTGTACATAATTACAGTAGCAGCAGTAGCGGGGAAATGTGTGCCTTCAAAGAAGGAGTTCTAAAAATAAAGTCATCACATAAACTCCGTTGTTGTGGCATTCTATCAAAATCAAACCCGAAGCATTTGAGAATTCATAATAAATTACAGGAGACAGAATCATTATTAACATCATAATTTAACACAAAAGGTTTTACTTAATCATTCATTACAGATCATGTGCTGTTAAAATGCTTATAAATGACTAGGGTTGTTTTAAGATGTTTGCAAATATGTTCCCTTTTGGCCACTCACCCACCTGTGGTGCAGAGGGTCCACAGAGAGAGAGGAGTAAAAACAACTGAAAAGAGTAATGCTTTATCCTCATTTTGATAGAATGTTAATTAAAAGTTAAAAGTGACTTCTTTTCTAAAACATTCATGTCTGGGACTCATCTGACCTGGTTTCTGACTTCAGGTGGTAATTGTGGAGGACACTAGATCAGAAGCCCATGCACCTGGCCTCACTGGCTGTACCTGACAGTTCTTTGCCACCTGTTTCTGATTTGGGACAACAGCTCTTTGTAGAGCCCAGAATAGTCTTTGCTTCCCCCCAGCATAGCATATTATTTAAAGGAATAGGCTCAAACCAGAGGCGTTTTGTAGGCATTATTCCCAGTGTGGTCTCTTTATCATTGTGGGTATGTTGTCAGTACCTTTCCTTTTTTTTCAGTCTTCAAAGGGGGCTGTCAGCTGACTGATTATAAACCTGATGGCATCACAGCCTGTTCACACTTGTTCAGGGAGCTTCAGTTTGGTTGTAAATTGCATTGTGTGTGCAAGTATGGATGCTTCTTTTTAAAAATGGCCTATCCTGTGCGTATGCATGCATGGGAGTACATACATGCATAGTGGCACCAGGGTGAGAACAACCATTTATCTTTCTAAATCCAAAAGCACTTTCAATTTATTTGCACATCAGAAAACTTGCATAGCTTTTCTTTAGTGATTGTAGAGACATTTGAATTATTGAAGATCATAATGCTTCCCTCCTGAGTGCAGGCAATTCCTAGAAGTGTTTAAGACTCTTGATCACAAGAGAATTCCGTATGTTGCCTGTAGCTAGGATTGAAACCTATAGGCAAAATGGGGAAAATGGGAAAGTGCTTCTAATTCAAAGAACAACTGCTTATAGCCTTCTGAAGCAACATACTTAAATGTAGCAAATTGTCTTGGAAAGTCTTGTATTGAATACTAAGCTTGCAGCTTCCTTTTAGAAATGGCATGGAGTGAGGTTTGTTAGACCACAAGGCTCAAGTTTTACTGCCGTACCTCCATCCAGCATTGAACTTAGGGTCCTGTAGGTACCTTTGATGAGGATGGGGGTCACAGGTGGAGTTAGACCTGGTTGATTCTCAGCGAGGTCCTGGGACATAATTAAAAGGGACCTGTTTCTCCTCCCTGGTCCAACTCTGCTTTTTTTTCTCTCTCTTTTTTTAAAGATTTATTTATTTATTTGAGAGAGAGAGCATGCAAGTAGGAAGAGGGGCAGAGAGAGAGGGAAAAAGAGAATCTTAAGAAGGTTCCAGGCCCTGCATGGAGCCCAACATGGGGCTCAATCTCACAACCCTGAGATCATGATGTGAGCGGAAATCAAGAGTCAGATCCTTAACTGACTGAGCCACCCAGGCACCCCCCTCCTTAAAAAAAATTAATTAATTAATTAATTATTAGAGAGAGAGAGAGTGCACAAGCAGGAGAAGGGGCAAAGGGAGAGGGAGAGACCAACTTGGCTTCTCTTCTTAAAAAGAGATCAAGGGGATTCCTGTGAGCAAGGGTACCTCATAGGACAAGTAGATTGAGGAGAAGGAGGCTGCTGTCTGAGATCCCCAAAATATCTGGTACCCTCTCCAGACTGCCCTTCCAAATGTATGCTGGGTTCCTGCCAAGGAAGGTGACCCTAGGCACTCTGGTGAGAGTCAAACAAGGGTTCTTTAAATCCAGAAGTATCTCCTGGACCCAAAGAGGCTCATCAGAGAGGCAGGAGATACTGCTCTGCAAAAAGTATCTCTAGGGCACCAGTGTGGTCCTATTAACCACTGTAATTCCTCTTTCATCTATTTGATATATTAGCATCTCAAGTAGATGTTCATTTGCCAAAAGGGATGTGAAACCCACTGTGTAGGAGAGGTGGAAGGAACCCCCTGGCAGTAGTCAGAGCAGCTATAGCCAGAGCCCCTATCTGCTCTCATATTCCATGTACACTAAGGGCCATCTGGTCCACTTGACTCTTGTTCTCCTTTCCCAAAACCAACCTAGCCCATTGTTTCCATGGAGATTTGAACTTTGTACTTTGTTGCCCTGGGTTCTAAGGTTGGTAAACTTCAACCAGCCCCAGGACTTCTGGCCCCAGCCACCCTAGCATTGGTGCTAGTGATGATATGAGAGGTAGGGGCCATAGAAAGAGGCAGATCATAAAGGTCCTTATTAACCCAGTTGGGAAGTTGGGATTTTCAAATGACAGGAATCATTTCAAAATCATAAGTAGGGGAGCAACATGATCAGATTTACTTTTCACTTTGACCATCTTGACTATATGTATGGTTAGGCTGAGGGAAGGGACAGGAGGCAGGGAATCTTAAGAGCAAAACTAAGGAAGTATCTCTGTGGAGGGAGAGGAGGGGTCAGAGTTGAGGTTGGTATTGACTAATGTGGTGGTGGAGGTGTGCCATCAGCCTCTGACAGGACCTACCACGAGGAAGTACAGGGGGAGGAGAGATGATGAATGCAGTTTGGGACAAATCTGACCCTGAAGACTCTAGAGAAGTTCTGTAGAATGGTGGATCTGAAAGTCTGGAGCTCAAAAACAAGATTAGAGGTAGAAAAAAATGGGTTTTGTCAGAAGTTGCTGGTAGTTGGAGAACTTGTCCAGGGCTGCAAGATGAGAAGAGATGGAGAAAATGTCCCAATAGACCCACCCTTGGAGAAACTCATGCTCTTTCATCCCTTCAACATGGTGCCTTCCCTTTCTGGAATGCCTTCTCCCCTCTCCTCTGGCCAATACACTTGTATTCCAGAAACCTATTCTGGAGAGGCTAAGTGACTTGCCTGAGGTTCTTTCTTCTCTCTATCCTCAAAGAGTTAGGCACATAGCCAGAGCTCAGGAAGTGGCCTGAACACCATGGGGAATCAGGAAGCATCTGTTGCTTACCGGTACTGAGAGGGCATTAAGGCAGCTCATTTTCTTCTCTTTCTTGGGAACAAAGCAGGGCAGTTTCAGGGTGCTCAAACTGCAATCCAGATGGCCGTCGGTCAGGTATAAGGTGAGCTGAGTAAGGGCCAGCTGGTCACTGTATGAGAGGCTGAGACCTGTTGCCCACACCTGATTAAAACAGGAGCCACAGAAGTGAAGTTGAGATCAACGACCCAGAGAGAAAGCCCCAACCAACCCTAACCAGACCCAACTACGCCAGTACACAGCTGACTGATTGGAGTAGATGTTTTTGCTTCTGTTTCTACTTCATTCAACTTGAAGAATGGAGCCTCCAATCTGATTCTAACTTAGAAGATTGAATGTTCTTGTGGAGAAATTACAAAAATCAAAACACTTGGCCAAGGAAATCTGTTGGAGATGCCCCATTCCAAAAGGCTCATGGGGGCTTTGATTCTTCTGCCTATGGTTTGCCATTTCTAGGAGGAGGAAGATGACACTGGTCTTGACCCAGCCAGTCCTTACTCTGTACAAATTCCCCAGTTGTGCAATGTTTTCTGTTGAGAACAATGAGACTGGACAGAAGCTTCAGAGGATGGGGAACTAAAGCAGACAGGGGGAGAGAGGGAGTGAATAGGATAAAAGGTCAGTTTGCTCTGATTTCAGAAAAAGCAGTGCCAGGAAATCTCACTATGAAACTTTAGGGAAAATCACAACTGGCCCATAAGTCTTAGTGCTGCTCCCATTTGTCATGAGTGTGGGAAAGTCATTTTGCCACCCCACAGTGCCACAGTATCCTCAACTGGGAAATAAGAACTGTGAGAACATCCACTCTAGCTGAACAGCAGGGCAATTAGAATACTATGATGCAAAAAAAAATAATGTTTTGAAAAATAGACATATGTGAGCAATACTTTAAGCCACTTGATAAGTCAGTCCATTAATTCCTTTGACATATATTTACTGAGCATCTACTATAAACTGGCGATGGCAGAGTGGATCATGTGCTATATCTCCCCTCTTCTGGGGCAAACCATCATTTTTAATTGCCCCTGTCACCATCCACCCCCACACTGAATCCAGAAGCACCCCTGAATCATACTCAGTTCAGTGCTCAAGGCTAGTGAAGGCAAGTTCAAGGCAATTGTGCTACTTATTGGAGTCAAAGGTAGATGGGCACAGGCCTTGCCATCAAGGAGGGGAAGACAAATACATATCTATTCAGTCATTTACAGCATAATGTAATATGTGGTATAATAAAGGGATGGAACAAAATTTTACTGAAACAGAAAGAACAAACTGAGTTTGTCTTGGGAAGTCAGGACTGCATCATGGAGAAGGTGACATCTAAGCTTTGACAAGCAACACAAATGTGACTGGCTCTTGTGTGTCAAGTACCTACCAAGTGCCAGGTGCTTCCCAAACATCTCAGATCTTTATAATAACCTAAAAAAATAACAATCCCATGACACAGATGAAAAAACACAGGTTCAAAGAGATACCTAATTCCACACAGCCAGGAAGTGGCAGTGCTAGGATTTGAATCCAGTTCTTTCTGGCTCCAAGTCCATCCTTTTCCCATTCCCTGCTGGCAGAGACAGCACTAATCTGGTCTTAGTTATTCCTTGACTTTATACTAGTTTCCCAGTCACATTAAAAGCTAAAGTTACAGAGGATGAAAACATGCACTTGTTTACTATAATCCATGCCATGAAAGTGTCTTGTGGAGAAAACATGAAGTATTGTATTTCTGGAGTATGCTGTAATTAGCAGTAACGCGTTTTCACTGTAGGAAGTTGGAAACGAACACATTTTCATGATGACTTGATTAAACATTTTTTCCTCTTAGAAGGCCTCCATGTGCCCCACACACCAACTCTATATGTTAAAATACATAATACATCTGCCCTAGAGTGGACTCCTCTCAAACAAATCTAGCAGTGAGTAACTTGAGTAAGCATTGAATGTAAATGGCATCATTATAAGGATATTAAGAGGTCAAGCTGTCAAGGCCCCTTGCTAAACTGAAGCTAATTTCAGGAGTCATATTCTCACAGTAATGCCCTTTTATAATAGCAAATAAATCACATTTGCAACAATTGTTAAAAACTAACTGCCAAGTATCTGTTGCAGTTGTAAATATCCTATTTGTCAACTTAAATATTTCCTGCTGTATGGCATAAAATGCAAATCAGATGGGGACAGCTACTTTTTCTTAAGAGGAGAAAGTAAACTTGCTATTCTTGCATGTCAGGAACTTTTTTTTTTAGAGCTTCACTTTTGATGTTCTCATGTCCTTGATTAAAGGGAAATGTACGTAACAAATATTATTAATACTTATGTTAATAATATTAATGTCTTGGTGATAAGGATTTTTTAAAACTTAAGTCCAGTATAGTTCACATACAGTGTTACTTAGTTTCAGGTGGACAATACAGTGATTCAGTGCTTCCATGCATCACCTGGTGCTCATCACGACAAGCGCACTCGTGGTGATCAGGATTTTAATGGGAAGATAGCACAGTGTAGGGGAAGAGTGAGAATCATAGGGGTCAGCCTAATTCTGGCCTTTCCAAATAGTGTAAATTTGACCAAGTTATTTAAACTCCCTCAATCAGTATCCTTGAGTGTGAAAGGAGCAAATAATAATACCTACCACACAGGACTTTGAAAACAAAATAAATGCACCTAAAATTGCCTTACAAATGATAAAGTTCATACAAATGTTATTTTTGATTACTAAACATTTATTTGAGGAGTAGGATCTTAGGAGACATTTTCAGTTGCCTGTATGGCTATTAGATTGCGGTCACTTAATAACTATTCTTCCAATTCGTGATTGTTGCACTCCACCTCACAACAGCTCAGTCCAGTAGGTGGTTAGAATTGGGCAAGTCACTCATTGCTAGATTACATGACCTCCATTTGACCAATGAAGATACTGAGATCAGAGTGGCTTCGTGGTTTGCCTAAGATCATGGAGGATGGGCCAGAACTCTGTTCCTTATAGAGCATACTTTTGCTTCCCTAGACTGCCCTAAACACGTGGTTCACAAAAGAAATAGAACAAATTTCGTTAAGCCTTTTCCTTAACAGCAGGCTTGCCTGAATTGCTCAGATAATTGTTCTGTTCTCCATCTGGTTTTTCCATTGAAGACACTGCCTGAGGCACGCTTATTTTGTGTATTAGGGTTCCTGTCTTCCCCTCTAGACTGTCAGTCCTTTAGGGGAAGCTGCTGAGTCTTTGTCTTCCCACACATCCTGTATCTGGGGCAGGGCTTGGCTCACAGCAGGGCACATCAGCACCTCTGATGCTTCACTGTGAATGCCACTCCAACTTTTAAGGAACAGGATCTAGGTGCGCCCCCTTGAAGCTGGTTTCAGATTCCAGTGTAGAAAATATGCATTGAGCATCTACTCTGTGCCGGGGTCATGCTTTCCCACATACCTCATTTAATCCTATTCTTGATTTTGAATTTCATTGTTAACTTTAGAACCTAATCTCTCTCTGCCCTAGATACTCCCTCATAATTTAGATGAGCCGTGATGACAGCCTGTACAAAGGCACTGTGGGTGGGGATGGAGAGAAGTGGATGGATTTTTAAATGTTAGGAAGTGCCTTTGACGTGACTTGTAGGACTTCTAATGACTAGCTTGACAGGTTAATTGATTAGCTATGACAATGAGGCAAAGACATCACTGAAGGTTAGCACTGGAAAGACCCTTAAAAAATCATCTAATACAATCAGTTTACTTTATAAATGGAGCAAAGTAGTTTGCCCTCAGTTACAGAGTAGGGTATCAAAGGTGTGGGATGAGAAAAGAAGGTGTCTCAGCTCCCAGTCATAAATCACTAGTTGATAATAGTTTGACTTACTGCGGATGTAAAAATCATTTTGTTAAAAATGATTAGAGCATTTGCATCAAGGCCTTAAAAAGAATATATAACACAGAAATATTCATCTCAGCATTACTTGTAAGATTGAAAAATTGCAGTTGTTCAACATTTGGGTATTGGTTAAAAAGATTCTGACACATCCAAGGGATGGGATAGTCTATGATGTCATCACTAAAGATAATGATCGTGAATAACTTTTGATGGTGTGGGAAGATACACAAAAATAGCAAGAGAAGGATATAAAGTCATATAGGAAACGTGACTTCAGCGTTGCAAAAATAATATTATACATAGAGAAGACTAGATGAGAATGTGAAAAATGTTAACAGTTAGTGGTTAATATTATCAGAATATTAGCAATAAGTGCAATTATATGTAGATTTTAATGTATATTCTGGAGTGCACAATCTGATAGGGTGGTCACTAGCCACTTGTGGTTATTGAGCACTTAAAATGTGGCTGGTTTATTTTATTTATTTTATTTTATTTTATTTTATTTTATTTTATTTTATTTTATTTTATTTTTAATGTGGCTGGTTTAAATGGAGATGTGCTCTAAATGTAAAATGCCAGATTTTGAAGACCGAGGAGGTAAGAAAGAATGTGAAATATGTCATCAGTAATATTTTATACTGATTATATGTTGAAATGATAATATTTTGGTTATGTAAGGTTAAGTAAAACACATTAAGACTCTTGTCTTATTTGGTTACATTTTTAAAAAAATTTTTTAAATTTATTATTTATGATAGTCACAGAGAGAGAGAGAGAGAGAGAGAGAGAGAGAGGCAGAGACATAGGCAGAGGGAGAAGCAGACTCCATGCACCGGGAGCCCGACGTGGGATTTGATCCTGGGTCTCCAGGATCGCGCCCTGGGCCAAAGGCAGGCGCCAAACTGCTGCGCCACCCAGGGATCCCATTTGGTTACATTTTTAAGCAAGGCTGCTAGAAAATGAAAAATTACATGTGGCTTACATTCTATCTTTATCGGATTGATTGCAAAAAAGCCCGTTGCAAGTTCAGCAAGAGACAGGGCGAGTAGGGGTGCGGTTGGGGGATACTGCAGAGGTTCCCAGCTCTCCGCTGTTCTGACAGGCACTGTGCAAAGCTTGCAGAACACAGGGCAGGAGGCAATCTGGAAACTATGATGACCTCATCGACCTTAAACAAGCATGTGAGAAGCAGAAGATAGGCAGAGGCAAGCTTTCCCAAAATCGTCTCCTTCCCAGGTTCTGCATCTTGTTTGGGCCATGAGCTTTGGGATGAAACGGT